CCCCTTAATCTCATCCCTCACCTCGCGATTCACAGACCTCACTCCCACACTCTCCTCTCCTCTTATACACAGAAACTCACAATCAAAAAAACTTTGGATTTCAGATCTGGAAAAATACAAAAAAGAAAAAGAAAAAAGGAAACAGATTAGAAAGGGAAATTATGAAACTCTTGTTTCCGTCAAACTTCAGTTCATCTACTTGTTAGTTTTGGGGTTCTTGAGTTTAAGTTGTTGAAGGTTGATTTTGCCGTGGACTGCTTCCGTTGCTGTTGATGTCTTGTTGATCTTCATTTGGCCCTTTTGTCTAGCCTTTATTTGGCGTTTCTAGCCAATTCCTAAGCGATTAGGTACACATCTCCAACTTGTACTTTTTCCTTGATTTGCAATGAAATTTTGGCTTTCTCCTCCTAAATTCTCTTGTCGTGAATGATTGAATCTGTTGTCAATTTTGGTTTTAATATAAGTGGAACGTGTGTGAACTTATTTGAAATGCTAGATCTAGCTAATACTTAAATATGCTATAGATTCAAGTGACATGGCAGAATGTTTAGGAAAATCATTTTTGTGCTTTATGTGAATGATTCGTGGCTTAAGATGATTTTTAGCATGAATTGAGGCATACTGTTTTCACATGTTTAGCCTAGACTCAATCGAGACTTTTGTGTTTAGCATAATGATCGAGTATATGATTTGGGATGTTATTATTTAGGACCTGATTTTAACATTGAGTAATTAATCTGTGCTTGCCCAAAGATTTTGTAAGCTATGAAGTGTGACTGGACTTGTTTGAGTAGGAATTTGTGGATTTAGCTTTTCCCAGTATGGGCCTATTAATTGGTCTAACGAGGCTGCATGCCCAATTTGGGGCCTAATGGTTTCCACACTATATTATCATTTGGGCTCAATTGTAAGCCCACAAACGTTTACAACAGACCTGGTTAAGGTTTAAATGTGAGTCTTTCCTCATGCATAACTCACGATTTTGTGAAAACCAACTATCAACCATATTATTAATAAGGTAAATCCATCGAAGGCATTTGAACTCAAGACCTTCACATAATCCCAAAATATAGGAAGAAATAATCATAAATGCGCTAGTTGCTTTAGGCGCGATTAATAAATCATTGTGGCTATGGGTACGGTTTCCGTGGCATAGTCACGATACATAATCTCCAAGTCGAGTGTGCGTTTCACGTGACTCGACCATCACTTCAAATAATAATAAAAATTAACATGTTGTAAATCGCGGGTGCGTTTCATGTGGCGCGATTCACAATGTGTACAAAAACAAACGAGTGCGCGACATCGCGACTTGTTCAAACAAATTCCATAAATACCAAAAGCGGTTTAAAAGGTAAAAATACACGATAGGTCTCAAATATGTATTAAATCAGATAATTTGGCCAATTATTAATAGTTGAGCGACTATGCTAGAACCACAGAATTCGGGAGTGCCTCACACCTTCTTTNGAATCCGAGAGTGCCTCACACCTTCTCTCGGGTTAACAGAATTCCTTACCCGGTCTTCTGTATTCGCAGACCATAAATAAGAGTCAATTTCCTCGATTTGGGATTTAAAATAAACCGGTGACTTGGGATAACATAAATATTCCAAGTGGCGACTCTGATTAAACAAATAATCCCATTTCGAACATTGTCACTTTAATTGAAAAAACTCCCTATCCCCTAATACCCCCTTCGGGAAAAAGGAGGTGTGACAAAAACCTTGATTGAAACGCCTTGTTATTGATGATGATGATGATGTTTGAAAGTGAAAAAGGTGAGCATGAAATACTAAATACGGTCGGCGTGCCAAGAATAATTTTATAATTGTGGCTAATAGTGCTAATAAAATGAAAGAATGTGTGAAACATTATGAGATGAGTTTTGACTCCTTTTTATAATAAATGTCATTAATGTCCTATGATCACCCGTGATTAGTACAAGTACGGGGTAGTATGAACATGAACTGTGGCAGTTGCGAAAAACAAAAAAATCATGAACTTAGTTAGTGACCCAAGATGACAAAGAGGTATATAATGAGGTGTAAAAGAGACGTCCTATACTAAATGATGACGAACCTTAAGGAAAGAAATTGGGTCTATGTACCATTGAAATCTACTTAATGATTGGCCATGCATGTATTAATGTAATGAGCTATGTTTTTCCATGATGAGCATGAACATGAAGTGTTCCAATGATCCGGGAACTTACGACCTTAAAAGTAGCGTTAGTCATGTCGCTTGAGTTTATACACAGTTATGTGCATAATGATGTGTTATGAACCCTATGGACAGTCTATGAAATGCATAAGTATAATGTGTTATGAACCCTATGAACTGTCTATGAAACACATAGGTGTATTGTGTTATGAATCCTATGGACGGTCTATGAAACACATAGGCGCATTGTGTATGGAGTCCTATGGACGGTCTATGAAACGCATAGGTATATTGTGTTATGAATCCTATGGACGGTCTATGAAACACATAGGCGCATTGTGTATGGAGTCCTATGGACGGTCTATGAAACGCATAGGTATATTGTGTTATGAATCCTATGGACGGTCTATGAAACACATAGGCGCATTGTGTATGGAGTCCTATGGACGGTCTATGAAACGCATAGGTATATTGTGTTATGAATCCTATGGACGGTCTATGAAACACATAGGCGCATTGTGTATGGAGTCCTATGGACGGTCTATGAAACGCATAGGTATATTGTGTTATGAATCCTATGGACGGTCTATGAAACACATAGGCGCATTGTGTATGGAGTCCTATGGACGGTCTATGAAACGCATAGGTATATTGTGTTATGAATCCTATGGACGGTCTATGAAACACATAGGCGCATTGTGTATGGAGTCCTATGGACGGTCTATGAAACGCATAGGTATATTGTGTTATGAATCCTATGGACGGTCTATGAAACACATAGGCGCATTGTGTATGGAGTCCTATGGACGGTCTATGAAACGCATAGGTATATTGTGTTATGAATCCTATGGACGGTCTATGAAACACATAGGCGCATTGTGTATGGAGTCCTATGGACGGTCTATGAAACGCATAGGTATATTGTGTTATGAATCCTATGGACGGTCTATGAAACACATAGGCGCATTGTGTATGGAGTCCTATGGACGGTCTATGAAACGCATAGGTATATTGTGTTATGAATCCTATGGACGGTCTATGAAACACATAGGCGCATTGTGTATGGAGTCCTATGGACGGTCTATGAAACGCATAGGTATATTGTGTTATGAATCCTATGGACGGTCTATGAAACACATAGGCGCATTGTGTATGGAGTCCTATGGACGGTCTATGAAACGCATAGGTATATTGTGTTATGAATCCTATGGACGATCTATGAAACGTATAGGCATATTGTGTATGGAATCCTATGGACGGTCTAAAAACGCATATGTATATTATGTATAGAACACTATGGACGGTCTATGAAATGCATAGGTGTATTGTGTATAAAATATATAGGTGTACGGTATGAATAAACACTATAGATAGTTTATGAGACACATAGGTGTATAATATGATATGTAAATGTATGGTCGTAAAATAAGAGAGGGATATGGACGATCTAGTGAGACGCTTTATTAACACAGGCATAGGTGCCACTTTCATTGGCGTTGTTCGTACATGTTGTTTCAATAAAATTATATTATGTATTCCACGTATAGTTCATATGGCTCGGTTAATCCTAAAAGAGGTTTAAAATGATGTAAGTATAATAAGACTTGAAATTTAAATCTATGTGATGTTTCGTAGTTCCTTGATGTCCTTTATTTACCTCTTATTTGAGTTACCGTATTTTCATATGTTGTTCTGTCTGCCTTACATACGAGTACTATTCCACATGTACTCACGTATCTTTTGCCGGGGGCGCTACATCTTTTAATGGATGCAGGTGCTTCCATAGCAGGTGACATCGATCTGTGATAGCAGTATATTCTCCTCTCAGCTACTTGGTGAGCCCCATTTCATATCGGGGTCATGTACCATTTGTTTTCTCATGTATTGTGTTTTGAGGTATAGCCGGGGCCTTGTTGCCGATATTATCCTAGCACTCTCTTGTACCCGTTAGAGGCTCCGTAGACATGGTGTGGATTGTACATTGGTATTGGGAAGATGAAGCTAATGATACTGTAATTGTATCACATGCTCCACTTCTAAACTAAGGATGTGTAATGTACGATTTTGAGGACTTTAAAATGAAGTAACTAATGGTAATGAATTGGTATTGTACACATGATCTCTTTATTGTCTAATTAATGAAAATGTATCTTTATTCATAAGTGAGTTTGGGTAGAAAGTATCTAACATGCTTGCTTGATCGGGTTCACTTGGTTGAGCGCCGGTCGCGCTCCCCGAGTTCGGGGCGTGACATGGATGTTACTCAGTTCTCAATTAAGAAGTTCTATCACATGTTAAGAGGTGACTTTCACAAGGTTAGCTGGAGAAGACTAGTATGTAATAATCCTGGATGCAACAAATGGACATTTATCGTGCAACTCGTAGATCTTGGGAGAATATATACGAAGGACATGTTGCTTAAGTAGGGTGTAGTAACAAACTTACAGTGTCCTCTATGCAACACTGAAGATGAATCCATAGAACATTTGTTCTTCAACTGCAAGTTCTCTGCAGAATTATTGACCAAACTGCTCAATTGACAAGGCATCAACAAATTACCTATGGGATGGAGTCAAGAAGTTAACTAGGCAGTCAATCATGCTAAAAGAAAAAATGCCAAAGCTGGTATATTTAGGATGGTGATGGCTGGTTGTATCTACTATTTATTGCAAGAGAGGAACCAAAGGACTTTCTTGGGCAAACAAAGAAGTGTTGTAGGCCTTGGTAAATTGATAGTACAAGACATGCATGGAAGAGGACAATGGAACAGTAGGATAGTTGAAATTTTGAGAAATATGAACTATTACCCCTAAGTTTGCTCGGAAACATGTTGTAAAAAGGGATGGGGGATGTTAAGGAGATAGTTGTTCTAAAGTTGAGGCTGTCCAGCTTTAGGGGTTTCGATTTGTTTGTACATATTTTTTTCCTTAATAAAATTTGACTAATTACCAAAAAAAAAAAGAAGAGATAATGACATTTTCTAGCTAATCTTTCATGATCTTAATTTTTCTTGAGTAACTATTCATATCATCACATGTTGCATGCTTAAAGTCGATATACTTTTTTTTTGATAACTAACTTAATTTTATTAATCACCAAAGAAACAGTTACAAAGCCACAACTAAGCCAACAAAGCTAGCTATTTAATAAAGGAAAACCTATGTATAGTGACTTAGCCCTAACTCCTACTTATCTATCAGTTCAGTTCAAAATTAGATATTTCAATAGCTTAGTTTGGTGTGCATATGTTTCAATAGTTCTCCATCCGACATGACTTTCTTAGGGTCCGAGATGGCAAAGAAATTGAATGTGATCTTTCCTTGAATTTTTTGATGTTTGTGACCTATTCTTAAATTGCATTCCTCTTTCTTGCTTTCTTTAATTTTTTGTTGCTCAGTTCACAAAACATAATCGCTTTGCTTTATTAATCCGTTCTCTCTTTCGTAAAAGGTATGAAACTGTACTCATCATCCTTTTTTTGAAAAGAAAAGCTATAATAGGCCGTTTAAGAACAAGTTCTAAAGATAATTTTTGAGTGGGGTGGAAAATTTAGTCTCAGTTTTTCATATTTTTTTGTTGTTAGTTAACAATTCATCTGCTCTTTGTATTCCAGAGTTCAAAGAAGAAGAAGAAGAAGAAGAGCAGTGTTCTCAAGTATGACACTTTTGGATGGATAATACTTGCTCTTGGCTTTGTTGCATAGGTAGGATTATATTTAAAACCAGAATATGCACTTTGCGGGTAAAAATACATACTCTAGTTTCTCCTTGCATTAGGAGCTTTAGACGTTCATACATGCCATTTAGTTCCTAGCTGTCGGCATTTAAGCTAGTTATGTAATTTTAAGAAAAATTATCATAGTTAAGGAAAAATTATATATATATATATATATATATATATATATATATTAATGCATCATTTCACGAATAAATTATGATTTTTTTGGTTTCTTCTTTTTCTTTCTTCTATTCAATAACTATAGTTGGGTAGGATTATATTTGTGATGTTCTATAATTTTCACATAACTTTTATTTTATTTAGCAGAAAAGAAAGAAAAAATAAAAAGGTGAGAAAGTTGTGCGATCATTGCAATATCTATAAAAAAGGAATTATGTACAGTGGCTTATCAATTTACTGCTGTCTGTTCCTTGTTAATTTGGATGTTTTTTGAGTCAAGAATTGCGCCTAAAAAAATGTCAAAAACAGCTAATCTGCACTTGGAGCCTCAAGCTCGACAAGGAAACTTCTAGAAAGAAGAAGAAGAGAGCATTTTGGATAAAATGAGTGTATGTCTTCATTAGCAAATCCTCCGAAAGACTATATACAAAGCTATACAAAGCTCCACTAACTCCACTAACTAACTCTTAACTTACCAATAGGCCGCTGCCATGTCACCTCTAACTAACCAATCTGCCAACTAATTATCAGCTAAAAAACTATTAACAGACTATATGTGATGACCCAAAATATCATCTTTAAATTTAATAATTAATTATGTGATATAAGCACTATTTACCATTACTCGACTTGCATGTGCAGTTCGCAAAAATTTTTCGGAAAGTTTTCAGGTGAAAAATAGATTAAAATGTGAATTAGATGTTTAAAACACAACTGAGTTGACTTTGGTCAATATTTTGAGCAAACGGACTCGGATCAGTATTTTGACAGTTCTGATAGGTCTGTATCGTGAATTGGGACTTGGGCGTATGCCCGGAACCAAATTCCGAGGTCCCTAGCCCAAGATATGGAATTTTGATAAAAAGTTTAAAGTTTGAGTTTAAATAGTGACCGAATATCGAATTATATGCAAATGACTCCAGAATAGAATTTTGATGATTCCAACAGCTCCGTATGATGATTTTGGACTTAGGAGCGTGATCGGAATTTTATTTGGAAGTCCGTAGTGAAATTAGAGTTGAAATGGCTAAAATAGAAATTTAAAGTTTGAAAGTTTGACCGGGGAGTTGACTTTTTGATATCGGGATCGGAATCCAGTTCTGAAATTTTTTACAGCTCTGTTATATCATTTATGACTTGGGTGCAAAATTTGAGGTCAATCGGACTTGATTTGATAGGTTTCGACATCGAATGTAGAAGTTGGAAATTCTAAGTTTCATTAAGCTTGAATTGGAGCATGATTCATGATTTTAGCATTGTTTGATGTGATTTGAGGTTTCAAATAAGTTTGTATGATATTTTAGGACTTGTTGATATTTTGGGTTGAGGTCCCGAGGGCCTCGGGTGAGTTTCGGATGGTTAACGGATCAAAAGTGGGACTTAGTTGTTGCAAAAGCTGCTGCAATTTTTCTGCTGGAAATACTTTCAAAATCGGGATGCCTGTCAAAATCGAGCTCCCTGAATAAATCGAGCTTTCGATCCCTGACAAATCGAGGTCCCTGACAAAATCGAGATCCCTGACAAAATCGAGGTCCCTGATCGAACTGGACAGATCGAGCTCCCAAGATCGAACTGGACATATCTGTAAGTTATAAAAATAATGGCATTCAACATTTGCCATTTTTGACAAACTTGAGCTTGAACAGAGGCGACCTTTGACAGATTTTCAAGGAAAGACATTTGGGGTAAGTGATTCCAACTCGGATTTGGTCTATATACACAAAAATATCATTGTTTTCACCATTTAATTAGTGTTTTGAGATTGAAATTTGAAAAATTTTAGAAATCTCATAGAAATAAATTTTTTAGATTTCGGTGTTGATCCGGAGTTCGATTGGAGTGAAACTGGTATAGTTGGACTCGTAATTGAATGGGTTGTCGGATTTTATAAGTTTCGCCGGATTCCGAGATGTGGGCCCCACGGGCAAATTTTGAGCTAATTTCGGATTTTATTGAAAAATATAATATTTTCTTATGAAATTGATTCCTATAATTTTTGTTGATTGTATCGAATTACTTATGACTAGATACGATTCGATCGGAGTCGAAAAATTGAGGAAAAAGCATAATACTTGGTTAAATTGGAGCAAGTCGAGGCAAGTGACTTGTCTAACCTTGTGTGAGGGAAATTTTCCTAGGATTGGTATTAATTGTAATGTGATGAAAGTCATATACACGAGGTGACAAGTGTGTACACGGACCTAATGTGAAGGATTATGTGTTCAAATTATGAAGATCACTGTTACATATTAATTAAATTATTAAATCTTGTTATATTCTCCATTAATGATTTGATTTGTATACCTTAAATTTTCTTGACATTTTCCTGCTAATTATTTTACTTGTTTGATTAAAACTTGGTTTCTTTTATACTGTGCATTATTTGAAGGTTGATTTTCTTTAAATTAAGTATTATTAATATGAAATATTATTTTCCTGAATTATTTTATTCCTGATTATTTTCGTAAGATTTTTGGTACTCATTGTGAAGGAGCCGTGAGCTCTTTATTGTGGAAAATATTATTTTTGGATTATTTTGGCATGAGCCGTGAGCTCTTTATTATTGAAAAATATTGTTGTTGATTTATTTTTGGAAAATTGAAATATTGGGCACTTGAGGTAAAAATTGTGATATATTGTGATATTGATACGCATGCGGTGGTATAAGGTGTGGGGATTGAAACGCATGCGGTGAGATAAGGGTGGCTTGATACGCGTGACTAGTAGGGGTGACTACTAGAAGTCATGCGGTGTGATAAGGGAGGCTAAAATGCGGGATGCTATTTCGGAAAAAAGATTTTTTTAAAATAAATTGTGAAGGCTCCCGCGGTGATATAAGAAAATGAGATATTGTGAATTTATTTATGATTTGGGACTACGAGGTGGTACCTCAGTAGTGCCCTTGTTGATATTAATTTATGGTCATAGTTGCCTTCGATTAATTGTTGTGATTTTCATAAAGCTGAAAGGAAATTCTGTTTTGATTCCACGAGATATTATTTGCAATTAATTGGTGTCATTAAATGTGACATACTATTTGATTCATTTTCTCAGTCATTTTTATCTTATTAAATTGTTTAAATATTTTTCCATGTCATTATCTATTCTCCAGTAGGGCTGACCTGACCTCGTCACTACTCTATTGAGATTAGGCTTGGCACTTACTGGATACCGCTGTGATGTACTCATACTATGCTTCTGCACATCTTTTTGTGCAGA